AATAATACTAAGCTTTGTGAGATATTTACACTGCATCACTATGCGCGGTTGTTTCACTACTCAGTAGCCCAGTCCGGTGCAGGATGAGGGGTAACGACACCTCATCCGGTCTTTTGGTTCGAGGTTATCTTTGGACACCCGAATGTGGCCTGCAAGACAACAGGGTTATTTCAAACGAGTCCACATACAACTGCGCAGTTGATTCACTTCTTCTGGTGAGATGGAACACGACAGGAGTAGTGGCTTTATTTATTGGCTGACCGTAATCACAAAGTCGTAGTGAGACATACCGGTTTAGGCTGTGGAAGAAACCCTGCCCCACAGCGTCCTCGACCGCTCATTTATTAGGCCTAGATGCCCGCCGTATTCACGGTTAACCACCACATTGATAGTTTACCCTCCTATTCATCACCGGGGGACGCTCTCTTAGTTTGGCAGTTTTGGCTACTGATTTTTGGTTCCCTATTTAGCTGAAGGTTTAGAGAGAGGTGTTAATCATAGCAATTATTTGTCACATAACGAACACAATACAGTAATGGAGCACAATTCAATTCCGGATTCACTTCACTGCATCTCAGCTGATTTTTACTGCAGAAAAAAGATAATTCATGTATCACAAATGATGGTAATCTAACACATCACCAATTCATTCTCCCGCTTACTTAGTTACCACAGCTATGCCAGTCGCACAGAGCACATGTGACGTCAGTTGCTCGCTATCTGCTGCAGACCGACCACCAAGCCCATCGAGGGACTTCGTTTCCGGTTGTTTACATAACTCCGAGGCAATCATGCATCGATAAACCCTGCTGTATCGGTAGAAGTAGGTCTACATCATTCTAGTATTGCCGCGGTAATCACACCGGTGGCGGCGCAATGGTTTGGTTGCTGTCACCGGTGTGCTTTCGACCCTATGATCCGAGGTTCGAGCACCGCCACCGTCACCCAACTTTGGTAGTATGCAGCTTTGTTGTCTTCCGGTTCAGTACCACGCCCAACTTAGCGGGGCATTATGTGGTTCGCCACTCCAAGTTCTGCGGCTAAGGATGCTGGTTTCCATGACTGAACAGCAGGTCCTCGTGACTGTAGGACTTTACCCGTTTCTCACACAAACACAAAGTGAATTGTTACTACATTAGATTATCATCACTTTTGATTTACGAACTATTTTGTTTTCCTAACTAAGCAACAACTGAGATGCATGGTGATGATTCCGGAATTAGATCGTGTTCAACTGCGGCGATCAGAAAGTTAAAAGCAGTGAATTTCATTGTCTTACTGCCATACTGTGAGAGGTGTCATCGTTTTCAGTTCTCGCCATGCTGCACGCTTAAGCTATGCTGCGATTTGGCTGCTTCACTGCGCTTACTTAATTCTACCGGATCACTTGACCATTCTGTTTACTTATTGGTAAAAGGGTCCTGTAAACGAACGTTGGAACGTCGAGGAAACGAGAGCTATTGCACTTTGCTCAAGAACCACTATTTGGAATGCTTTCTGGATAAAGAAGGGGATCATGTGAAATATGTGAAAACCAAGGCCGCACTGGAACCGGGGCAAATGTACTGGTGCAAATCGTGCATACTTATCTTCGAAAAACCCTGGTCCTTATTTCAACACATGGCGGACAAAGCCAAAGGAAGTAAGGTACAAAGGTGGGAGAAGAAAATCCATCTGGACTGGATGGACAGTGTTGCCGGACTCATGGCAGGTTAGTGATGTGATGTGTTGTTCCGTAGTTGAAATGGATAAACTTTTTTCACTCGAAACATTCTAATTGAACTGAGTGGATAAGAAAATAATCCGTTTGTTCTATTGTTTGATCACGCCGTTATCATTAAATCGAAACCTCAAGTTTGACGGAAACTGCAAGTAAATTGCAACCAATCAACTCTGTACTTTCCTCTTTATCCTTCTTTGTTTACTGATTTCAACATGGCTATGATGCGATTGTGACGCGGTAGGTGTGTGATGTAGCCGCTATTGCTGAACTGACAGTCATGTTCACTTTCTTCTGTCAGCTAAGGAATCCCGATCTATGGAAGCCAGAATGCTCACTTAGTTGGTTCCATGATGCAGTGAGGAGCATCGGGCTGGGGAATCAGACACACGGCTTTAACATTCCACCTATTAGGCGGATCTGTTTATTGCCATTGAAAATGGAGCGTTACAAGTCCGTTTGAAGTGTGAATTTTTAGTATCAGACTACATGTTTTCCGTAGAGAACCAATTATTTAATTTAGTCCCTCTAGCATCATGCGTGCGGCGGACGATCTCGTTCTCACTCATTCGTTGCCATACTAATGAGTAATATTTATTGCTAACAGCGCTGATAAAGGAAGAATGACTGATTATAAGCAACGTGATGCAGATCTGATCCCGAAACTATATGCACGGATGTGTGAAATTCATCCCAACGCTTCTTGTTCAAATCGTTGCATATGTGTTGAGGCAGTTGAAATGAATTTGGTTCTTGGGTCTTCGCGCGGTAAAGGCAAACACTGTTCTTCAGTAGAAGTGAAACAGTATGAGTTGACCAAAATATGGAAGGAGAAAATTCGAAACCAATTAAAACAGTGAAAGTTGTAAAACAAAGTGAATAAGAGTCAATATGCAGAGTTGAAGCACAGGGATTACGTTATCAGATACAGATAACCGATAAGTTTGGTTGGTATTGAAAATGATTCAATTCTTTGGGTTCGGAAAACGACAGCATTCAGGTCTGAATTGAGTAAAGTACAACCAGATAACCGATCAAGAGTGATGGTGATTGAGGAAGCACGGGCAGTATTGTGGGAGGAAGAACAATGTAGAGTGGTACCCTCGGCAAAAGCACATACACGAATGAGAAATGAAAAGTTATCGATTAAGACGGGAAAAGGAGTGGGAAACAGCACGGAATCTTGTGGGACCGAAATTTACTGGGATTAGCCTTGAAATGACTCCATCAGCACTAACCGAGGCTGAACTGCTCCGAAGGAACCTTCCTACCCATGTGATGAAATAACTAGGAGCCCGTCATGCCAAACTAAACAACCCGAAACGAAGTCCCGCGATCGGCTTGGTGGCCAGTCTGTAGCCGATCGCGTGCAATTGATGACAGAGATGTTCTTTGAAACTGGCTTTATTGCCTGGTTGTTTGTGTAACGCTCAATCTCATCCGCTCGCGATCGACCCATGCCGATATGTGTTCGGTCACTCGGGTACGCAGATGTCTGTCTGTTCTACCCACGCCCAACAAATCAGAGGACGTATTGATTTTACCAACAACTTCGTATCGTGTCACCCGTCCATTTGGCAATGGGTTTATCTCGCTGGTGGCCGACGAGTAATTCAGCATATGGTGAAAGCTGATCTACTGAGCTACTTTTCTAATGAATTTCGTTTTACCTTTCAAAAGAAGTAAATATTCATCCCGCCTGACGAGTTAAAACGGAAGCAAATGCGGAAAACCTTGTTACTGGTCTCCTGTACAAACAAAGTTGGGTATCGCAAATATTTTTACACTAAGAAGAGAGGTTTTCGGTAACTGCTACTCTTTAAATGCATTCGCGAAAGTCATATTTTTCAAAGCTGAAGGTTGGTATATCTTCTCGCTGGAGTTTGTAGTAGAAAACGGTTAGACCTAATTAAATATTATTTTTTACATTTGTTCAGTCTCTAGAAGGGGTCAAATTCAATGTCAACTTCATTCATTTACCGCACCGCAGCTGGGATTTTAATTTAATCTAAAAGTTTTTCGTGTATCAGAAACATGGATAAATCAGCTACCTCGACATTGGTGATCAACGGTTAGGGTTCGGGGTGTATTAGAGGAAACTGGCAAATTCTGTTTCTCAGTCGACTTGGTAGACACCATACTAGAGCGACTGCCTCCAGTCTTCAAAAATGAAGGAGGGCAAATGTAACATGAGCTATTTTAATAAATAAATTCCCGTTATGTTTTCTAAAGTGACTTTATTATTTCACAGGTGATGCACCAGCGACTATCGTCAAAATCGCGAAATTGTACATTTTAATAACATGTGGCCAATAGATGCAAAGACATAAGTGGGTATTATACCAGATATGTTGTGTCTGATGTGGGGCAATATCATATTCAATCCCTTGAATGAGGCTGCAGAAATGAAACAGTGAGAGGAACGAATGTGATTAAAATCAGGATGTTGCACAAGTTTCGTCAATACCTGTATTGTATGATAAGATGTTTCCCACTACATGTGCAGCGTCATGGTGAGCAACCGACTACATCTAAATAACAGCACTGAGACTGGTTTACAACATTTTTTCCTACGCAGGAACATCTTTTCTGAAACAAACAAGTTAGGGGGAGTGTTCATTGTAATCTGCTTCGTTTTTCCAATCCGTGCTGAGTACTATTGTCGTTACACCTCCTTTTATCACCCTTAGCAGCTTGGTAACGGAGAAATTGCGAAAAATCAGGTTTGTATTAAACAACTAAATGGTCTGAAATGAGCGAGGTTGATGAATTCACAAAGTGATTACCTCGGGGATATTGACACATGACCTTCCGTTCGTCATGGAAGACCGACCAATACCAGAGAGGTACTGACATGCGCCGAAAGTGAATGATTATTAACTGATTCGTGTTCTCAAAAATCAAGTCATCTAACTGTGACTTGTAGATTTTGAAAAGTGTCCGTAGTGGTCGACGCGATCAGACGTCGTGTTCCATTCTATAGTGGGTTGGGTTTCTGACATTTTGGGATCAACAGCGTATATGCGAACATTGTTGACTATCCACGTGTTCCACGGACGGTCAGTGGAATCATTTAATGATATAAGGGAATATGATGAAATTTCTTGTACAATTTGTCCCTGTTTGGGCTTCATAGTTTACAAGAGCCATTGATACCTAAAGTGGCGGTGGTGATTACGAACGTGAATATCGAGTCCCAATTCATAAGTGGCTAAGCCACAGGCTCCCGCTATGCATTGTAAGATGTTCGCTGAGTATTTGACTCCCGCTCCTTGATGATAGCGTCAATGTTATTTATTTGCATGAGAATGGTGCTTGCGTGATTCGTACGGTTCCAAAATTCTGGTTTGAAGATAATCTTCAGTTGTCACTAAACTGATCATTCATTTGTAGTCACGCCAACACAATTTAAACCATAACCGCACTTTGAAAGTATTGCCTACTAGTGGACGAAAACTGGAGTCCATGTTATTTTGTTGTAAGATAAAAACAGCATGGATTCGGTAGTATTAGATGGTTACAACGACGAAGAAAAGATGGTTGATGGGTGCAACTGAAGCTGCCCAACCAACTGGGAAATGTTGCACTAGAATCCCAAGAGGATTAGAAAATATGGAAAGACTCCTAACCATGTACCGGAGAAAAGCACATGGAAGCAAGTATTAATATATTTCTTATTGATAAAGGATAATGCTAATGAGGTCTTCTTTGCGGTCGAGATCAGAAATTTCGTCAAGTAAAAATGCAGGATCGGAAAATGGACTTAGTGAATGAAAATTAGGCGTATACCTTTCAATATTCATTCCTGAGGATACCACTGGAGAGGAGTGACTGATGTTGACGCGCATCTGGTTCATCTCGGTAGAGTGGAGTTAACCCCACCCGACGGATTATCGAATAATTTTAATTGCACCGCACGGGAGGAGCACAATTCGTCCAGTAAGTTAATGGGAAACGCGAGACCTCGGCCTCAACAGACTTTACCTCCGTGAGCAATAAATAATCAATTATTTAGCGTGAGGTATGGACTATAATTATGAGAATGGAAATGTCGCTTTTGATAGGCATTGCTACTTATATATATTATTATTATATTTCACACTTGTCTGAGGACAGACTGTGCCAAACAAATCATGGTACAATAATCTTTATAAGAAAGAAAATTTTCTATGATTAGCTTGTGGGCTGAGTACTGCCAGGTTGCCCAAGCCAAAGCAAGTGAATTTTCTTGAGGAATCCACAACCGGAGCCTTCGGCTAGACAAAGCCTGACCCGCAAGATAGCGGGGCAGTGTGTGAAGTGCGCAATCCGTTGGGCCGGCCGGTGTCCAGTTCATCGGATCATACGCCCTTCGAACGGGGTCAGACGTTTAAGGTGCCCAACCGAAAAGGTGTGGTTGTGGTTCGTACGCCTCCTCATGGTTGTTTTAGAATCGGGTTTTTTGGCCAACTCCTCAGTGGTCCACCAACCCGGCTATAGCCCCGAACATCGGCTTTTCGTCCTCTCACTTTGGTGGGAAAACACCTCCGCCGCGAGAAGGCAGTGAGTAGGGCTTCCTCAGCAGAGGCTATTTGAGAGGCTTGGTCGTATGGGGGGGGGCACTTCGTGAGGTGCAAGGGCAGGGTGACCAGCCGCAACCCTAGACACCCACCCCCAACCATACTGAGGTTTTTGGAGGCTATATATATATATATATATATATATGTATATGAATGAACTGACAAAANATTACCGGGTACGCATGCTTGACAAGCGGCAAGAACCGCGAAACCGGTCGTGTGCTTCCAGGGAAATTTTGTCTAGTCATTCACGTACTACTTTTTATGAAATATATATATATAATACATCTGCAAAACGATCGCCGAATGAAACACACATTCGTACCTCATTGCTATATGTCAATGAGTCGGAACGTTTAATCCAATTACCCGATTCTCCGTTTGCCTTTTTTGCTTCGTTTCAGGCTATGACTTAGGTCTGTTCAGTCCTGCGAAGTTGCGCATTGACCTGCGCAATCTTCTGGCCGACCATCACACCATGGAGGAAGAAATGGAAGCAGCCGCAGTCACAGCCGCAGCAATGATGCAGTGGCTCGCCCCACTGAGTAGTCCATGGCGTTTGCAACAACGTGAGATGATGCGAAAAATTGAACAACTGAATCGACAAATGCTACGCAAAGCTAGTCACGGTTTGAATGCAGCGACCGGAGCCTATCCGATGCGAGCCGCACTAACCGCGGCTCCTGTGAATCCGTCCGCAAGCAATCCCAATGTTACGCATTCGCTTAACTATGCATCAAATCACCATCGTGCCTCGCATACAAATTCCATACCAACTGTACCATCCCCTGTGCGCATTGTTGACGGTGGAAAGATCTCGGATGAAAACCCATCCAGATCATCCCCTAGTCAGTACTCGAAAAGCGATCCGTCACCCAGTTTAATCACAGAACCATCTGAAGTGGCTGCTCAAGATACAATCCATGTGGGATCTATTACAAATGTGGATCAGGACACTGTCGGTCCTTTAGGGGATCAGGAGACTACAGAAACCGGACCACCAGATGACCCGTCCGGTTCAAACGAGACAGGAAGCATTACTGGAGCAGCTGGGGACAATGTGTTGGACGATACAGAATCAAAAGTGGCCAAAACAATGATCGATCCGATTGATGCACCGAACGAGGGTTCCGATTCCACAGATTCAGTTCCAATCCCGGTCGATTCGAACAATACAAACAGTGCAACTAGCACTTCAGCCCGTGGCGATGAGGGTGGACGTCGTGTAATTGACGTGAAACGTACCAATCAAAATACGTCCAGTTATAATCATCCGGGTATGAAAGCATCGAACTCGACCGGGGGGATCGGCAAAGGATTGACGGATTCGATGCGTTATCAGATGCATATACGCGGATCAAGAACACCCGGGTACGGTCACCCGTCGGGTACATTTGGTAGCACACATCGAGGCATGCATCGGGCAAATCGTATGAGCACGGGCAGTAGTTTACCACCCTCTCGAGCAGCGAACAGTTTCAATCCGCCCAGTTTTCATGCCAGTTTAGATTTGAATTGTGGATTCACAGATGACGAAGTGGAAGAACTCTTATCGCAAGGTATCAAACCGTGGGATAGTGAGGCTGCGGCCGCACTGGCCGTACTTCGTGGTGAAATGGATCATTTATTGGATTAGGGTCACACTGTATTTGGACACGGTGCCCGGATATCTTCCACTCTCCCTCCCTTTTTGGTGCTTGTCTGGTAGTTGTTGAGCTTGTGGTTATTTACACTTCTGTGTCTAAAGTGTCTGTGGTTCACGTCCAGCTGAACCCAGCTGAGCTTTTGGCCATTCAAGCTTTTTTCGATCAGTTTTTTCATCTGTCCACAGAGTTTGTATATGCATGTCTGACCTATTGTCCGGGTCGTTCCCTCAAGGGTCATGCATTGCTATTTTCTCAACTGTGTCTTCTGAATTTCTTTCTCTATATATGCTCCATAGCTCTAGCCCGAACATAATGGAACATCGTCGTCATGTCCTACGTTCAGTTATCGCACTGCTTTTGGTTTAGGACTGTTTGGCCGAACACAAGCGTTGGTCCAGACAGCTCCATTTTGTAAGCATTGCCATGTCCATTGACAACCTTACATTGGTCTAGAGCCGAAGAGGATTCTATCAGACAACTATCCCTTGTCTCTCAACTTCCAACTTGGTCCCCATTATCTCGCCTTCACTCGGTCCTATTGCTTCCCCGTTTCTTTCACACAAATCTTATTTAGTTGCGTAGACGGTCTCAGAAATAGCCTAAGTGGTCCAACAATGAAGAAATCATTGCGTTCCACGATGTTTGTCCTTTTTTGTTGTTGCAACGAATCACATCAACAGCTTGATTGTGATTCCAGTCATGCTGAGTAATATGTCGCTCCTAGATGACTGTTCCGAGGTCTGCATTGGTGATTGATCTCTGACTGAGATCCAATGAGGATGTATGGCACATGGTCGCTGAAAACAACACCGATTGTCGCCCTCAAAACCGTCCGTCTTAGTGGGTGTGATTCGTTCACCGCTGCGCGTAACATATAGGGAAACCAACTTACTTTGAAGCAGGACATTTTCCTTTCTTTGAACAACCGTTTAAACGCATTCTTCATTTTACTAAACTGTTATTTTTCCTGTAACTTCCATCATCAGTTCCAGAAGCATCCTCCATATGAGATCTTACCCCTTCTGTCCCTTTTCCTCAGCAAAAACGGTATTATTCCAACTCTTACTCGCACCATTTCATTCCCTTGCTACATAGTCCGTCAGCTTATTCACTTCACAATCTTTTAACTTGTGTGAAGAAAGTTTCAATCACAGTTGTTCCAACGCTCATGACCCGATGCGTTCTACGATCTAGACAACAAAGACAACCAAATACAACGACAGCAACAATCACAAGCAGTAACAAAGAAAACAAACAACTTGTTCTTTGTTCTGATCTCCCCTCCCCCCCCCCCCCNTACACACCTCAGGGGTGTGTGGACTCGTCGTGTGTATCTCTTGTCGACCGATGTAGTCAGTTTTTCTCTCAGCCCCACCCCATCCATACCCACCGTTTGTCCGACAACGATTCACGCGGTACTGATCGCTGAAGCAATCGTCGGTTTGGTTTGAGCACTGTGTTCCTTGTTCAGTGTGACCGTTTGGCTCGTGCCGATCCATACACGAGTTGATACGTTCCGTTTACAAAAAAAGCATGCGGTTGTGACCAAGTGTCTTCCCTTCACCCCCCCCCCTCCCAAACCCAGGCAAACGCACGCATACCGAGAAAGTGTGTCGCAGACTGGGGGAGAGATAGACAGAGGGTCGTGGATAGAGAACAAGAGAACTGGCAGTTGATCGTTTGTTATTCTTCAGTGAGGCCGGTGCGGGCACATCCTATGGACTTCCATCTGAAACATGTACCCTTCAAATAAATCTGGTGGTATTTCGTCCAGTGACCCACACCCAATTTTAGGTGGATCTCTTATCCACGTCAACGTGCACAAAAACACGCTAAGTAATCTTTGCCTGCCAGTTATTCTATCACACCGGAGTAANGGAGTAAACTACCCGAAAGTTTCTCTCTCTCTCTCTCTTTTGCACGCACTTTATCTTGCGGATGATACAAGCTTCATACTCAAAAACAACTCAGCACACACTGTCGTCCCTCACTGCGTGTGATTGGTTTTTGCCCATGCGTCCAGGCAATCTAGAATCAACTGTTTTTCTTTCCGCCCATTTAATGATTAAAAGTGTCGTTATTATTCTGTTCGGCGCAGCAAAATAAAGTAAAAGCCATGTTCGCTCGAAAATGCGGAAATCTGACTTCTTTCTTTATCGCTGGTTATTTGGTTTTCACTATGGAGCAGGCATTGTTCAAACGCTTAGTACTCTAGGTTTGCACCCAGTACAGTATTAATGGTTATTTCTCAAACTTTGTGGATGCATCTCACCATGGTGACTATTTGCAAAATCCTCTCACGATCGCTTATTTCAGTTTAATATATTTGTCAGAGCTTGTAAAGTATGAGCGTGCGACAAGCCTCCACACAATTTGTGCCGTCATTTGTACTTCGATAGGGAATCAGTAATTGCGCGTATCCACAGGGCCTGGATACTGTCGTTCTTGTGAGAAACATTACGGCTGGGGGACCTATGGTTAATTGGAGAGAACGTTCCCACAGTTTTTCTACTAGGTTTTCAGTATTGCCGTAAACCCTTTTAAGCTGTTTGATGACCTGTGAACGCGAAAGTATGTTCAGCGTAAAGTATGCGCCGCTTTGGCTCCCAACCTATGTCACGCCGGTGAACATCTGTTCAATGATCTCGCGCGACCACCGATAAAGCACTACAGTCTATGAATGATCTAGAAAGGGACCCACCAAATAGCTCTTACACTCTGGCTACACACCCAACTCTCTACTGGAAGCGACCACATTGAGTCAGTGTATGGAACCCTCAGGTAACCCGTGCAGTTGGTGGCGTTAGAGGTTCGTGCGTTTGGCTGACACTGACGCCCTCTGTGTTCCCGATCGCCTAGATTATACTGTATGAACGGTGCCGACCAGATAGCATATCCATGGCTTGGAATAATGTCAAAGGAAATGGCTAGGGCAAATACTGAGCAACTGATAAGAACTCAAGTTGTCCTGTGTTAGATGCCAATATGGATTCTGATGTGGATTGCTCCGTTCCTCATCGTGACGATCTGATCAGTATTTCCCGATCGTTGTCACTTGTTGATTGAATAACTATATATTTTTCACACACGTGACGCCAGTCTGCGTGCTAAACAAATTGTGGTATAATAATCACCCAGAATTGGAGTGAATTTTCCCAAGCCCGGCCCCTCATTTCTTCCGAGGTAGAAATCGTTTGGACAGAAATCAAGCTTCGACTATAGGACATCATACATGACAGCAGATGGAAAAAGCTAACTTAGATACACTCAAGACGAACCTTCTGATGTCTGATCAACTTTAAATTTATATTTCAACAATACAGGCGATTTTCGAGAGATGTCAACATTTCGTCGGGAATGATTTAAAGTTGACTGCTTCTCGTAGCTGCGTGAAAAACGACGGTAGCGCATTAAAGGAGATAACCGCCCACATTTCCAAGGCTCGAGCAACGTACGCAGAACTGAAACACCTGTGGCGATGACCTGATGTTTCATTGAAGTTGAAAAATCGCGTATACTGTGCCACTGTACGGTCAGTTCTGCTCTACGATTGTGAGACTTTGAATTTGCGGATAGAAGACATCCGTCGCCTAGCGGTTTTCGACAATCGATGCTTACGTAGTCTAGCCTCATTAACTGAAATGTAAGCATATATGCTTACACAAGTTACAAATACAAATACAAATTGGGCTGGGGTGAGCGGATTTGTAACGTAGAAACAAGTCTTCGGGTATTTGGGAATGCATCGAACATGAACTCGCCAGCGCATCGAATTCAACTCAATAGGCTCCGTTAGTTAAGACATGTCTTGCGTATGTTCGACGGTCGCATACCGCAGCGCGCCTTGTTTGCAGTGGCTTTTTGTAATAATCGAATAGGAACCGGAATTGAACAGCGCGAACTTGAACTCGGACTGAAAACCC